GGTTGTATTTGTAAATTTTCTAATTTATACATTTTTCTTAATTTAAATAATTCTTTTTATTTGTGTGTTATTTTTTATGCGTTAATATGTGTTAAGGTTACATGGATTTATATTTTGTAAGTGTGTAAATATCTTTTATATATGAGTGTTTCTATGTTTGTGATATGTAATTTGTTATAGTTTGTAAGTGGTTATCATGTTGTTTGCATGGATTTAAATTTTTGTGACTTGGTTTAATTTACAGCAAGAGTGTTGACCTTACTAGCCAAGTAGTGTGCTTTGCTCTAATGTGACTTGGCTTTGTTAGGAGCAAGATTGTTGTCTGTGCTAGTTAAGTGGTGTACTGCCATAATGAAACACATAAGTTAAATCAGTTTGAAGTGTAGTCATAAAAAGTATGAAAATATATAAAAAATATTGAAAATATATTATTGAAAAATTATGCCTATAAGAAATGTTAAAAAGATATATAGTTTTTTAACATCTCTAGTTTTTTTAATATTTATGATTTTAAGTAAATTTTATTGAACAGATTTATACTTCATTAAACATTTTTTATTCTGTTACTTTTTGAGTAATTTGTGTGAAAGATATATACGCTGCTCTTTTTTTTTTTTTAACAATTTATGCATTTTACGAAAAAAAATTTCAGGAAACTAATTTCTATTTTAAAAATAGTTCTTCCCCATTTAAATATTTAAGAGTCTTTATTTCCTTCACTAAATTACGTTTAACTTAAATTTGTTTGTTTATTTATAAAGGTGTGTGCAAAGTATTACATAAGCTTTAGTAACTTTCTTTAAATTTTTAGAATGTTTCGTATAGAGAATGTTTTATATATTGACGTTTTTTCTTTAGAATATTAAATATATATATATAAAAATAATTAAAACAGTTTAAGAAGTTTCAGTAGTTTCAAGTCTCTTCACATAAAGCAAATATATGGTTGTTTATAGAGGTTTCCTATTAATAGTTTTGTATTTACTTATTGATTGCAAATCTGGCATTAAATGTGTTTCAACGTAATAAAAGAGATTTTTTGACGAAGGATTATATATCACCATTTAATGCTAGCAGTATTTGCTGAGCAGGCAGCCCTTATATTCTTTTCAGTTTGCTTTAATTATGAGTTTTCATCTGTAAAAATTTTGTTACTTTTATTAATAACTTTTTCTTGTTTTTTTGATCAAATACTAATAATATTTTCTCAATAATATTTAAAAACTGCATTAAATACACAACATTACTCAGTTATTAAGATTATATTAATTTATTCATAACTTTAATTTAAACTCTTGATAGAAATATGTTGTTTTTACACACTGCTATATTATTTTAAAACATCTTATTTAAATACGGCTAACAGTTGAGGTAGAATACAGTTAAATTATTATATTGTACAGTTTTATTGGCTTACACGTTATTTAAGATAAGTTAAGAAAAAAACTAAAAGTTCAATCTTGAAATAAAAGTGCAACTTTTATTATATTAATTATCATTTTTACACACTCCTATGATGCTTAGTTATGTCTGATAATTAATGAAGTGAAATTGTAAGGCTTCGTTGAAATTAAAGATACCAGGCTCTGCAAAATGAATTTAACCATCGCCAAAATAAAAGGGATGAGCTAAACTAGCTAAGGTAAATTGTCGTTGAAATGAAAGAGATGAGCCTATGTGAGCTGAAATAAACTGCAGTAGAATTAAAATATATTAGGATTTTGCTTTTATTGGCAAAGGTTTTCTACCCGCGTATTGTCAGTTAAATATATATGATTCTAATGTTACAGTGTCATTCAGAATGAAGCAATTTGGTAATATTGGTTGTATAAATGAATTAATGCAACTCTTACAAACTTTAAATAATCAAGAAAACTCATTTGTTTCTGCATTTAAAAATATGGCAGAAGTAGAGGAATAAAATGATGATGGCGCAATTAACTGGAGCATCTTGTTACTTTGTCCCATCATTATAGATTTGCAGTATAACAAAATTTTAGTCCTAAATACAAACTAATTCGTACCAAATAATTAATGCTTAATTTAATGCGGCTTATTCAATGAGCGTGCTTGACTTTGAGTTTTTAAAGAAAATTTTTTACGCTTGACCATGTAATATTTCACTTTATATTTTTGACGACATGATAAGTAATGTCTATATATATAACCCTAACCCTAACCCATAACCCTAACCCTAACCCTAATCTGACTGTTTTTTTTTTTATTATTTATAATTTAACAAGCAATAGATTTATAGTTCTTAAAAAGTTAACTAGCAATAGATTTATGGTTCTTGAAATTTTTTATCAACTACCAGAACTTTAAAATGATTGATTTCTTGCTGTTTACTCAAATAAATTAAAGTGTTATGACTAAACTATAAGCAAATTTAGAATAAGTGGGAAGTGAATTAGACTTACCACGACCCGTATCGTACGGATCATGACAGCTAGTTCTATATATATTAACCATCTGTCAGAAAAGATGGTCAAATATGCATATTGTTTGCTTTTTTTAATTTTAAAAATCATTTCTTTACAATAAATATTTGTATCGTGTGGTAGGCTGTTACATTTTGTCAGTATATGCTGTTTGTAACTTCCTTAATCTGTACCTTTATATTAAATTTTTATTTAAAAATTATTATTGACTTTTGAATATTATTACTTTATTATTGTAATAATTGTCGCTTAGTTTATTAAACAGTATTGCTATAATTATTGTTAATAATTGTTCTTATGAATATTTATTGTTAATATTAATAATTATCAATATTATTAATGTCACTCATTTTGATCATGAGTGACACTCATGTCAACATATTATTTGTGTTATTATAAGTAGTATTAATATTTTTTAACTATTGTTATAACTTGTTTGTTATAATAGTTTAACTATTGTTATAACTTGTTTGTTATAAACAACAACAACAACAACAACAACAACAACAACAACAACAACAACAACAACAACAACAACAACATTAACAATAGTTAATGTTGTTGTTGTTGTTGTTGTTGTTGTTGTTGTTGTTGTTGATATTATCAAACTTCTACTCTAGGAAATCTCAGAGGAAAGTACCTCAATTCTACCCAAGAATTTAAACGAAGCATTTAAATGGACTAAATACTGGCTTTTAAGATTGAAAGTTAAAAAATTTGAAATAATGCACTAAAAAGTAAGCAAAAAAATAAACCTCTCTATATTGTTGGTACAAAGTTAACTAAATAAGAAAGTACAGAAGAATAGGGAGTGATTTTGTCAAAAAATCCTGAATGGAATGACCACGTAATTTCATTAAAAAATAAGAATTTTGTAACGTAATTTCAGCAAAGAGGAAGCAAGTAGAACTTTTTGTGG